ATAAATTGAGTTTCTGTTTGTATAAAACGTGAGAAAATTATATATACACATGCAAATACATATATTTTCGTTCTATACACTTATAATTATACAATAAAATACTCCCCTGCCAGTTTCTTTTGTCTTTCTCTCTTTCTCATTTTATACAATTTTCAAATTATATCTAATTTTTCTCTTTCTCGTTTTATACAAATTCAAATTGTATATAATCGTTCTATAAACTTATAATAATACAATTCGTTTTGTACACTTCATTTTTATACAGTTCTTTGGGCAAGTGTCTTTCTCTTTCTTGTTTTATACACTTTATTTTATACAATTTGCTTCAACGGTATATGTATAGGAAATTATACAAACTTTGTTATAGCATATAAATATAATTTTTTATTTGCTATACGTAAAAGTTATCCATTAATTAATTAATGGTGCCAAGTGCAAATACAGCACTACTAATCAATCTGTCACATAAATTTACTCTATGTTGTATGAAAATTAGTTAACTAACCTAAAAATGAATTCACTTACCATAAATTACGTAAAATGTTAGCTCATAAAACTTTACTATCTTAATAGCTCAATTTTTCTTTTTTATATTTTTTAAATGATTATTCGTCATCTATATTGCAATTAAGGGTATCTTCAACTCTATACTTTATTTTATTTTTTAAATATAGAGTTTTTTACTTTTTCAGATAATTAACTTTAGTTCAATTTTCTATTTTACTCTTAAAAAAAGTATTTTTCATATATAGCAAACATAAAAGAATTACGCTTCACAGCAAATATATATATGTATATTTCGCTATACATATATAAAAAAATAGTTGTATGATTCGTTATACATATACAAAGAAACCAGTTATATAATTTATTATACATATATAAAAGAAAATAGGTGTATACAAAAGATTAGTTGTATAATTTGTACATGTATAAAACGAGAAAAAAAAAAGACAAAAGAAAATTTGGCAATGGATTATTCGTATTGTATAATTATAAGTGTATAGGACGAAGATATATATTTTTGCATGTATATATATAATTTTCTCTCGATTTATACAAACACAATCACATTTTGTACATTTATATGTACAAAAGCAAGAGATGTGAGCGATAGAGGGAGCGAGAGAGAGAGATGGGGGGGGGGGGGGGAGTGGCGAGCGAGAGTTTGGTGGAGAGAGACAACTGCCAAACAGTTTGTTACATGACACAATAAAATCAAAGTGCGATTATAGCATTTAATTTGAATTATTAGTTTGTCATTTTATACAATTTTCCCCAAAAAAATCTCTCACATTAATATTATATTATTATTTATATTTATATTTCATTTTCTTATTTCATAACATAAAGTTGTTCTCTTTTTTAAAAAACAAAAATAATTACTCTATATAATTTTCATGCAATATAAAATTATTATTTTTCAAATTTTTATTTATAAATTCTTTTATTCTAAAAATTTAAATAACAACTATGAATAATTGAATAAAAAAATCAACAAGCATAACAGTTCTCTAGATCATACACTATCTTTTTTTGAATACTATTAAATCTGAAATCGACCTACTGGATTACTAAATTACTGCTGTAATTTTAAAAATTATTATGTTATGTGTGTATTGACGTCTTGTACTGTCATTTATTATATTTTAAATTAAAATTTTCATCTCATCACTTAAATATTGCACATTCTTCATAGTGAAAATCAATAATACTATCAAATTATCTCTTGAAGTGACGGAAATTGAAAAAAAAATTGAAATATTATTAATTAGAAATGAAAGTAATATAAATTAAACAATATGTTTTTTTAAAAATGTTGTATTACATTTAAAAAGAATTATAACTATTAAAAATTTAATTAATAGCCTTGTATGAAAAATAGTATATTAACTACAAAATAATAGAAATAATATTAAAATAATGAAAAAGTGAAATAGAAAAGAGAGAATTACTATTCACTTCTCCGTAAATAGAGAATGTATAGTTTTTTAGAGTGTGGTTAGAGATCCGTACTACAAAATTAATGTGAATTACATGGAGATTTTTTTTGTGCATTAGTATGAAAATTCACAAAAAACTTATTTTCCTATAAATTTTCATAATAATTTTCAGAAAAAATATCACGTAATTTACAGTTTTGAGATTGGAGGATAAAATATAGTGGAGTTAGAAACGGTTTAAAGAGCAAATCTGATCAATTTGTTGGCATCTACGACGCCGTCTTCTTTTTCTTCTATGTTTTGTGGTCCTCCGCTTCCTTTGCTTTTTCTTCTTCTTTGTTGCTTAGACATATCACAAACTTAAATTATTTCGAGCGAAATATATATTAAAAGATTTATAACATTAAAAAGATTTTACATTTAAAATTTGGGATGACTTAGAGGTATTTGGAATCGATCAAGAATGTATACTTTGTGTATTGTTAAATTATCTTTAATTTTTTAAATATATCATATACCGTGGCTCATTATATATACGTAAGTTATATATTTATATTGATAATCAGTGTATACTTTTTATGACTTTTAACAAGATATATTACATAATCTAAAATATAGTTATATTTTTTAATAACTAATTATTTTATTGTATATTTTTATAGCATTTGTTTAAAGTAAATAGTCATCTTTTAACTAAAGTGACCAAAAATTGCCTTTTTAATTCAAACCATTGTTTCACAAGTTCGACCGTAAATTATTTGATACTATCAGATACTTTATTCGTTCAGTGATAGTTATCCACTATATGTTACTATTAGGGATTTATTCGAATTCTTTTTAGCAAAAAATTATATAATTTGTATATGATTAAAATAACTTTTTAGGTATATATAGTAGATATCGAATCGCCTTCGATTACTTCGTGCATTTATTTTTATATTTGAATCCACTTATTGAAAATCATGATTTCGTCACTGTATTATACTATTTTGGAATGTCTAACAATACTTGTCAACTTTATGAAATTAATAAACGAATTTACACTTAAATCCTAACCCTTGTCATTTATTATAGTTATTTTTCTATTATATTTTATAATTTAATAAAAAATATCAAGCTAATAGTGTACAATTATTAATGGATCGAAGAATAGTGATGTGCAAGAAAGTCATATTTCTTGTGACGTGTGAGAGAGAACATTACATCAAACATGAATTGAAAAAACTAATTAATGAAATTGAGTGGCGTGTGAGCCTTCAATTTTTTACTACAATTAAGACCAACACAAATTAAGTTTCAACAACGAAAAAAGAGACTTATGTGTCTATTGCTTCACGCAACGAGAGTATAAATGTACTACTCCCCTTCTATATCTCAAATACTTATTCATTTTAATAAATTAAGAAAGAATATTTTTTATTTATTATATAATTAATTAATTATTTTAAAAAAGATAAAAATTTTAGAAAATTTTAAATTTTAATTCATCCACCTTATATAATTAATAGGAGTAAAATGGTAAATTCATTACATTAATAATTGTTTTCTTAATGCGTATGTCAATTAAAAAATGAACAAATAATTAGGGACAGATGGAGTATTAGTCTAGGAGTGTTCATCGATTCAAATTAACAAATTCAATTAAATCGATCAAACTTATTAATCTTTAGTTAGTTTGATTTTACATTTTTAAAAATAGATAATATTTGGTTTGATTTTAATTTTATTTTTTTAAAAAAAAGAAATAATTGAACTGAAGCAATAAATTATATACGTATTTTATATGCATAATGTCTTGTTTTTATGCAAAACTGCAGCACCCTAAATTAAACTGTTGGAAAATGTGAAAAATGCAGCATATAGCGGACACTTCAAGTGCTTTAAAATCCTTATTGAAGTGTTAATGTGAACTCCGAACCTTAGCTTTGATATTTCAATTGATTTTCTGTTTTGAAGTTTTTGAAATCCTCTAAAAAAAAATCTAAAAAGATTAAGTGACAATTATTTTCTAAATAAAATAACTTCAAAAACAATCTCTCTTTCTAGCAAATCATAGAAATCAAACCTAAATTACATCAAGTTGTTTACCCATTTCAATTTATCTCTTTCGAGCATTAGTTGAACATCTAGATTAGGGTTAAGTTTGCAGCTTTAACCTATGAATTAACTCATGCTAAATAACGTAAATTCATGGATGAACATCATAAAACATAGCAAAGCACAAGATTCACCACATTAAATCAACACTCAACCTCATAATCAAACCTCTAGAGTTGGGGTTTTAGCCACGCATCACGCAAAGCAAAGAAATTATACCTATGATGTTGTCAACTATCAATTGTGTAGAAATTAAGTAATAATCTTCAACACCCACTTCATTTCAACTCTCAATTGTCAATTACAAGAGTATTTGGAAACCTCAAAACTAAGAAAAGAGTATTTTCCAATATCCAAAACTAACTATGAAATTAGAGAAAAGATTTATATGCTAGATCTCATATATATTTTCTTCTCTTTTGGACTATTTATAATTACTCAAAATAAGCTCAAAATTTCATATACTATCCGTTCGGTGATATTATTTGGGCTCGCCTAACACAGCCACGAATCGTCGTTCATACTTTAGCTTGCCCTTTTTTTTTTTGCTTCACGCTTCAGGTGTTTGAACCTCTATTGACGAACTCAATTGAGTCAGCTTTTACATTTGGCGAATCACTGATTACCACTCTGTTCACCATTCAACTTTCATTTTTACTCAAAAGTTTGTCACCGTCAGTAATGGATCTATAGCTCACCTAATCTACTTCGGTGAATTGTTGTTTCAATTTTAATTTCCCGATCTGCTTGGAATATTTTCAATTATGGACATTGTCAACTTAAGCGAGGTCTAGCCAATTCGGTGATCCGCCCTTTTGGTTAGGCGACTGCGAGCCAATATTTTTGGCCTCTTTTTTATAAATTTAATCTCGCCTTGTCCTTTTGCATTCATAACTGCAAAATATCATTAGAATATGACATCAGTAGGCATTAGGAGACACTAATTGTTGAACTAAAAAGGCTACAAATGAGTGGAGTTCAACCACTCATCAAACTATTCTAACTTTCTTTTTGATGAGTAAAATACTGAATAGTGAATATAACATTGAAACTAGCTTAAATGCTGAAATTGTTAGGGGTCTCTTGTTTGTAGTTGTGTTAGAGTGAGTTGTGTCGGTGTAAATCTATTATTGTATTTGATACTTGGATAGGAGATAAATTATTCATGTATAAATTAATTTAATTTTTTTTTTGGAATTTACAAAATCTGTATAACTAATATATGTATAAGATATGAAAAAAATATATGTATTAATTTGTGCAATATAGAAGGTGAAATAACTAAATATATGATTCCTATTGATACTTGTACAACTTTTACCAACTAAGGGATCGTTTAAATGTATTTAGAGAATCTAATACATGTATTAGTCAATGCATTATTCAATGCTTTGTTTGGTAGGATTTTCAACTTATATAACACTTTTTTCAGTGGGTGTATAATTAATGAATATCAATCATGGTATTAGGGCATCCACAATCCATATCATCAAATTGTACACTAAATGGTGTCAACACTTTTTGCTTTTCATGTCAAATTTTATGTGATACTACTTATATACTCAAATGGAGTTGTCTTGGAGATAGTCTTATCAATACAAGACTTATTACATGGAAAAATACAACTAAAAACAAAACAATTGTTAATATACCAAATCAAATAATAAATAAGAAACAATCTTGATATTATTAATACACTTTATCTATTCACTGTTATTTTATTATTGTTATATACTCTATCAAATGACCATGTGTTTAATTGTAGTGTTAGACGCTGAAAGAGGACGAATAGGTGTATGTAAACAAAACCCATTAGTATATGAGGTGTGTTAGCTGAAATGAAGTTAAAAGAAGGTGTTTGATCATGATTTTTTTTTTAGTGGAAACTTTCCGTGATTTTCAGTAAGAAAATAATTTATTTTTTTGGATTTTTAAATGAAACACAGCCAAACAGCTACCAAGTGTACACCTTGATTAATTGAGGCTAATACTAGTCTCTTTATTTAGAAATGAGAGTGTGGGTGCACCAAAACTGCACTCTAGAGTTGTACAAGAAGTTTTATTAGTTGTACTACACAATTTGAGCCATATTCACTAGAAAATAAACACACGTATTACACATGTCTACCTCCTCTAATTTTCAATAATTTTGCTTTGATTCTTTCTTTTACTTTTTTTATTTTTAATTCTCCCTATTCTCACTCTTATCGGAGAAGGAGAAGACCAGACTTGGAAATGAAGGTATTAAATTTTTGGAGGGGAAGAGCAATTGGTGGAAAATTAGAGGTGAGTAATTCGAGTCCGAGCTGATGCATATTCTTGGTTGTGATTTCGTTTGGTATTTACCTTCAATTGTCTTTTCATTATACATTTTGTAGTTGCTGAGATTTGGAATTCTCACACTAATTATCACTAATTTTGTGTTTTATATGCATTTCATTATATATTCTTTCTCATGATTGTTATTTTGCCCGATCGGTGTTTACCTTTATTGTTTTTTTTTAGCTGTTGAGACTTGGGACGCCCACATTAATTGTTACTGATTTTGTGTTTTATATTGAATTCAATTATAAATTTTTGCTTGTGATTTTTCTTTCTGCCTGTTTGATATTTAGCCCTTGTGCAGTACTGTTAAGAAAAATACATGCTTTTGATGAGCTAAGCATGACGATTTCAACATTAATGTTTTAAGCATTGAACACATTTGAAAAATCTGCCAAGAATAGGAAAACACACTATACTGTTGACTGCTATTAGAAGCCTTTTCAATGTGAGGACTCACTATGCTAAGTATAATTGAAGAAGTAAAATGTATATGTCTGATCTATTAGTCAATTTTATACAAGTTTAATGTCTACTTGTGCATAAATAAAGTTGAAGGATATTTATATTAGTTGAAGTCAAGTTAAAGGTCATATTTATGTATTATGCCTATTTAAATTGCTTTCTTGAAAGCTACATATAATGAGTTCTTCCATATCTTGGTCATTTGATTTATTGGAGTACCTTATACGTATATGATTAATAATTGTGATTTTAGGAACATACAACATGGTGATATTTATATAGAGAAACTAGTACAATGGTTAATGATTATAAATGCCAACTTGAATTTCTTGATTTCAATCCTCCATGATCTTATATTGGACTCCATAATTACATAGTTAAGCATAATCTAGCGAAGGATGATTGCTGATGAGCCTTAAAAGGCTGAATTGCTAATTATGAAGAATTAATAATTATATGATGGTTTTTTCATTGTAATTGAAAAGGTAAAATGGATGTGCTGGATGTGCTGGATATGCAAAATTATAGCAATTAAAGAAATTATTTATAGTAGTGTATGGTATCATCTACTTTGAATCTTAAGTATTAGATTAGGAGTCTTTTTTATGCTTCTGCTTTGTCTTTCGTGGTTTCGATCATGTAATTATTTGAAGTCTGCTATATAAGATTGTAGTTTAATCTTACACTAAAGAAGGTTGAACTCTTTCATTCTCAGAAGTTCATCACCACATGTATTGCAAATATATTTAATTTCCAAATTCTTTAAGTTTGTAATTGTAAGTGATGTCGGATATATGTTGTTGTGATTCAATCAATAACATTTATAACGTAATTAGCCTATTTTAGTTTATTTTTGCCTTATTTAGAAATGAAAGTTAGGTGTAGGAACATAGCATTACAATTTGTACTATTTGTTGCATTGCAAGTATTTTGGTGCTATCTAATGATTTACTCTTTCAAGTCACATGTACAAGTATAATACATGTCTTCCATTGATTACTCAGAATTTCTTTTGCCTTAATTTCATCACCATGGATGTGGAGCGTTCTTTTAAAGTTCACTGACGTCTCTTGTGTTTACAATCTTTTTTTTTTCTCAAACATGAGTTTTCAACTATTCTTTCTCTGTTAACAAATATTAACTTTGCTAGGTCTATTAGTTCTTCTACATTCACAAAGTTTTATTTGTGGATGCATGTTTTGAATTTATACTCTTTATTTTCTTTTTTCCCTAAATTTGAACATTATATCGCTACAAACTATTTTTATTCTATTCTATTCTATTCTTCACTTATCTTAAAATAAATTGTTCACTATCCGAACGTATTTGAAGCTCTAAGTTTGCAGGTATGGGAAAAGTAAGTAAAATTGTAAAAATATATGACTTGCAAGCATTTAACGACTCGATTACAATGTATTTAGCTCGAATAGTATGAATTACACTCTTTTCAATATTATTGTTTGATATATTTGATGCTCAAAGTGTTTGTTGTTGTGCCAGAAAAAATTATATCACATTCAATTTTTTTTTTGCCTTTTGATTGATGTTATTTTACAATATACTCATCTATCATTCATGTATTTTTTTTTCTATTGGATTAGTATTGATAGAAAAAATTTATGGGACATGTGTATTTTTGTTAGAAAAATATTGTCTCACTTTTCGCACTCCTTATTTTGATAAATATGAAATTCAGAGGTATCTATTTTTTCTTGGAGGGGGATTATTTCAATAGATATTGGTGCTCTTTTCAATGGGTGCAAGGTGTTAGGTATCATGATCTTATTTAGTAATTTTCTTGAAGAAACATATTGCAAAAGTTAAGCCAAATGACAAGTTGTTTTGAATAATTGCAAGGAAAGTATGATGTTAAATAAAGTGAGACTTGCTCTGTTGATATGAGGGTGCCATCAAAATGCTTTATGTTCAGTACTACTGCTCGGCCAAAGGCTGTATTTATTATGTGGTTACAGATGCAAGCTAAATTGCTCACAAAAGATAGGTTGCTGAAATGGGAAGCCAAGGTGGAGCCACAATGTCTGGTATGTCAAAATGAAGATGAAACACGAGATTACTTGTTTGTAGGCCTTGCTACCTAGATGCAAATGTCCTATGAAATAGGTGGTGACTGACAACAACACCTTCCTTGGGTTCTGAAGAATGCAAAGGGGAAAATTATAAGGGCTCAGAGTTTCAGAATGATTTATGTTGAAGCTGTCTATGCACTATGAATTGAGAGGAATCAAAGAGTGTTTGAGCAGAGGACGAAAGGAGTAGATAAGATTATTAGAAATATTGATTTTATTTGTAATGTTAGATCCTCCGAAAAGGTTAGGCCTTTAGTTTAGTCTTGGATGTTATAAGAATTGAAGTGAGATTTTGTGTATAGCATGTAGAAGAGAGTGAGGGTAATGATTTTTTCAATATTTGGGATCTAGCTAACTATGGATGTTGGCTACTTTGTATTGCTTTATAGGTAATTAATGGAAACAAGTTAGTTACCTAAAAAAGGTGATTTATGCTGATTTTGAGTGTTTTGATAGCCTCAATTTATTAACTTATAGGTAAAGGTAAAGCAATGTGTCGTCTTATTTTCAGTCGTTTTGATAAAAGATAGGGCTATACCTGAAGATGCACTTGGCTCTAATTCTTACAAAGTCTATCATAGAATTTTTTTGTATTGTAATTTATCTCTTGATTCGTGTTATTAGTATGATCATTGCAGTTAGTAAAATAGTAGTTTTCATATCATCTTGCTTTTATGATTTTGTTTTAAGTGTTACATTTCCCTCACTATCTAAATATTATGTCATGTTGATCCGACTCTCAAGTCTAAAAGAGGCCTTCAAGCCTCACATGTTAAATTTTCTTCTTTTTTTCAAAAAAGAAGAAATCCCGAATCTGAAATAGTACTAAATCTATGACATTAAAATTTCTGCATACATCTCAATTATTTTTCATTTTTTCAAAAATGATGTATAAGGTTCAATTAAAAAGGGCGAATTCACTCTTCATTCTAAATTTTCAGGTATGAAGTTTCTCACTCCGTCATTCCCTCTTTCAAGTGAGCAATGGAGAGAACTAGAAGGCGTACAAGTATCAAGAGAAATGGTTACGATTAGGCTGGACTTAATTCATTTGATATGATTTGGATTTTTTGGTTGACATAAAATCAGCAGTGATATCATTACTTCTATTTACTCAACTGGATTCTTATCAATTAAAATGAGTGATGATATGCATAATTCAGAACATAAAACATGTTCTCTTGTACGCACCAAATCAACATTCACTTAAATCATGTAGAGAAGTAAATAAGTGAAAGGATAAGCAATTGACTGTGAAAGTTGATTTGCTATGTTATGTTTGTATGATTTTTATACAGTGTTGTTAAATTTTAAAGAAAGACTGATGTACCAGCGTTCTAGAGAAAGAAGTCTGGACTAATCTAGCTAAGAAGCTTGAGGAATTTATAAGACCTATGGGGTAAAAGTTGTTGGGAAGCACAAGAAGACACTATTATTTGGCTTGTACACTTGTGCATAATTTTTAAAAAAATATTTGTATATCTTTTCCTAATATTTCACGTATATGATTTCCAGTATACTAATCATACAAGCTTATGCAATTTTAACGGTATGTTCTTCATGTGCTATTTTACCTTGTTTTTTAGTTACTTTGGTGGCTATCGTTTGGTTTGTCACCAAATGACTATGCAAGCATTTACTACATGAAATATTAAGTGTTCGGCCTATGTCTATCTAGTATATAATATATAGAGTAGAGGCTACCCATTATTAGATTCGATTTATCGATTATTAATTTGCAAACATGTAAAACTGTTATAGAATCATTAATATTTTGACTTATCGATTATTTATCATTACCCATATATTATTAGTTTAACCATTAATATTTGATAAAGAAAATTTAAAAATAGCTTAATAATAAGATAACGAACCAAATGAACCATGCACATGAATTGACACATTACATGTTTTTTCAAAAACAATCATAGTCACATTATTAAATAACCAAGAATCTGAGACAGTAAAAAATAGAAACATAAAACTAAAGTCTATTAACCTGTTCGGACCCAAGAATACTTGCGAAAAACAAGTTAAAAATATTTTCCTCCCAAACACACCCTAGGTCAAGAAATTTTATATCAAATGATATAAATATAATTATGTTGTAAATCCATTGTATAGTATATGTGGATTATCCATTAGATTTATCTACTATTAAATGAGTTCATGTATAGGAGCTTCCAAGGTGATAAGAACTTCCAAGATAACTATGTATCTATTAATTAGATGACTTTTGGAGTGATATCTCAACACTATAAATAGAGAATTACTCACCATTTGGAAGATATACTTGAATAAGAAAATTATCTCCTCTATCTTATACTTCTTGTCTTTTTCTTCTTATATTCTGAGATTTCTTTACAACACGTTATCAGCACGAAGTTGCTACTTGCAAAGAAATCCCCAGTTGTCAGTTAGATTCAAGATGAGTAATGAAAATGTATGTCTTCTTGATAGTGCTACAACACATACAATATTAAAAGAAAAGAAATACTTTTCTAATTTGGTTATGAAAATGGCATATGTCAACACAATATCATGTAGTACAAAATTAATTGAGGGCTCTGGAAGAGCGACCTCATTAATACCTGGAGGGACAATATTAAGCATTGATAAGACATTATATTGTAGTAAGTCTCAAAGAAACTTATTAAGTTTCAAAGTTATTCGCCAAAATGGCTATCATGTTGAGACGACTAATGAAGAAAAGGTTGAATACCTTTACATTACTACAATTAATGTAGAGAAGAAAATTGTGCATGAAAAATTACCTGCACTTTCTTCTGAGTTGTACTATACAAGTAGTATAAGTACAGTTGAATCACATGACATAGTAAACAAAAGGTTTACTAATTTTAATGATTTTATCATTTGGCATGACCTATCCCGGAATTAATATGATGCGCAAAATCATTGAGAATTCACATGGGCACACCTTAAAGAGCCCAAATATCCTTCAATCAAAGGAATTCTCTTGTGCTGCTTGTTCTCAAGGAAAGTTGATCACTAAACCATCAACAGTTAAGGTTGGAATTGAATCCCCTGCGTTTCTGGAACGTATATAAGGTGATATATGTGGACCAATTCAACCTTCATGTGAACCCTTTATATGGTCTTGATAGATGCTTCTACAAGATGGTCACTTGTGTGTTTACTATCAACTCGCAACATGGCTTTTGCGAGATTGCTGGCTCAAATAATAAGATTGAAAGCACAATTTCCAGACTATACAATAAAGACAATCAGTCTAGATAATGCTGGTGAGTTTACATCTCAGACATTTAATGATTATTGTATGTCTACTGGTATAACAGTTGAACATCTAGTTGCGCATGTTCACACCCAAAACGGTCTAGCAGAATCATTGATTAAACGTCTGTGATTGATAGCTAGACCATTACTAATGAGAACAAAGTTATTTGTGTCTATGTGGGGGCATGCTATTTTGAATGCAGCAGCACTTGTGCGCATAAGGCCGACCAATTATCATGAATTCTCCCCATTACAATTGACTTTTGGTCAAGAGCCAAACATTTTCCATCTTAGAATTTTTGGATGTGCGGTGTATGTCCCAATTGCTCCACCACAACGCACAAAGATGGGGCCCCAAAGAAGGTTGGGATATATGTTGGGTATGAATCTCCTTCAATCATAAAATATTTGGAGCCTATGACTGGAGATTTATTTAAGACTTAATTACTTGAATGAATCCTTATTTAAAAATAATTACTTATTTTTGCTATACTCTTTAATTATTATCATTTATATCAATATAAAATAATATTATATATTATTATAAGATTTTTTTCTCGCTCTTTCTTTATTTTTTTTCTCTGCCAACTTTTTTATTTTGTTGCTCTTCCTCTCTTACTTTCTTTTTTATTGTTTTTTTCTCTTTTTCTCTGCCAACTTTTTTATTTTTGTTGCTCTTCTCTCTTACTTTTTTTTTTATCGTTTTTTTTCTGTTTTGCTTTCTTTTTGCTGTGCATTCCCTCGTTACTTTTTTTTAAAGTTTCTCTCTTTACTTTCTTTCGTAGAGTAGTCAATAATTCGTAAATGAATAAAATTTGTATCAATAATTAATTAATTAAACAAATAATTTAATCGTAACAAATAAAGAGACATAATAAATTAAAAAATGAACTAAACTTGAATTTAAAATGTATCACACACATATTAAAGTTGAAATAAAAATGTATTACACACAACGGTCTAGAGTAAATTAAACTTGTATTAATAATGAATTAAACAAGTAATCCAATAGTAATATATAAAAAAAATTACAAAATTAATTAAATTGCTTTAAAATTGTATTACACAATATTAAAGTTAAATTAGAAGAGAATTTAAAATGAATGAAAAACGTAACTAACAAAAGACAAGACAATAATCTATAAATTGAATTAAACTCATATTATCCATGAGTAAAACTTAAATCATATGTATCTTATAGATTATCTTTGCTTTTATCACTAAGATAATCAATTAATTTGACAAGTAATCTAATTGTAACAAATGGAGAAACATAATAAATTATCAAATGAATTAAATTTGAATAAAAAAAGTGTTACACATATCAAAGTTGAATGAGAAGCAAATTAAACATGAATGAAAAATGCAGCAAACAAAAGAGCATTATGTGATTTGTAAATTGAATAAAACTTGTATCAATAATGAATTAAAGACGTAATTCAATCATAACAAAATCAACCAATAAAATGCAAAATGAATTAACTTGTATCAAAAGTCCATACACAAATATTAAATTAAAGTTGAATTTAAGCATAGATAAAGATTGTAATCAATGAAACATAAGACAATGATCTATAGAGTGAATTAAACTTATATCAATAATGAATTAAACAAGTAATCTAACAATAACAAATAATAAACTACGAAATGAATTAAATTTGCATTAAAAGTGTATTACACAATATTAAAGTTGAATTATGAGAGAAAAATATTAATAAATGAAAAAAGTAACTAACGAAAGACAAGATAATGATCTATAGATTGAACTAAACTTGTATTGTTCATGAATAAATTATAAACTTAACCAAAATCAATTATGAACTTAACCAAATCCTGTTAAAAAATTGGGATATAAACTCCAAACGACATTTCACTTATTTGTAGGAACAACCTATCCAAATTAATCACAAATTCGTAAAATTGAATCTTTATAATGACAATCGATGATTAACTCTTGCTTCTATAATTTTAAAATTTTGAAATTTCTATTTGAGAACATCATATTGTACAATTTTCTGTTTTTTCTATTCCTTTTCTTGTTGTGTTTTTGAATAAAAATAGTGAAATATGGGAAAAAGTAATTTAAAATAATTATGTAAATGATTTTTTTTTTAAAAATAAAATAGAGTGGAGGAAGAGAGATTGACATAGAAAGAAAAAAGAGGAGGAAGAGAAAAAGCGCAGAGAAAGAGCGAATAAAGATTAACAATATAATTTTTTAATTCTTAAAAATTGTTATATTTAGAAAAATTATGTTGACATAAATGGTAAATATTTTTTTAATATGGTACATTTATGTGATTTACCCTTTATTTAAGGCAAGTGCTATAAAATAGCACATTGATAGAACACTTTATAAAGCCTCGAAAAAGGTTAAGGTACCTGAAAAATGAAGAGATGTCGATAAGTTATGTCATATTGGAATCAATATCAAATAACCGTCGATAATATCTTTGGTATGAGGTAGCGCTCAATGATATAGATTGTGACGAGGATCTTGAATTCAAATCTGTCATATAGTTTGGACAGATAAAATGTTGGCCAAGTAAAATGCATGATTCAACTATATTGTTTCACTTACAAAAGTGAAGTTTTGGACAAATAGTCCATAAATCAAGGTATAATGTCAGTGGGGTATGAATAAATTATTATGTGATTGTATAACCATAATATATCAAAAACGGTTTGTGCCTTGGGGCATAAAGATTTGTCGCAAAAATCCTGACATTTTTGGAAATATTTTTATCCTATGGTGGATGCAATGAGGTTTGTTTTGATCTGACAACATACGAAAAACTTGAATGTATGTAACGAATAATTGTAATGTTTAGCTAGACAAAGAAGGTTATATAAAAATCCTTGAAACAATCGAGGTGTATGAAGCATATTAAAGTTTGAAAGAAACTTTTTCAATAAAGCTTCAAGATTCCTTATATGGATTGAAATAGTCAAGAAAAAAAAGGGTACAAAAGAATGACCCTAATTGTCCTTGTATTTTATGAAAATGTTTTGGTAAAACAGAATTTTGTCTTGACCTACAGATTGATAATTTGTCAAATAAATTTTTTGTCTAACAGTGCACAACTGAAAAGTTTTGATGTAATTTTATATGGATAAATCGCATTCATTGAGTACCCCAATGATTATGAGATCACTTGACATAAATGATGATTCAATTTGATCTCAAAAGAAGGATGAAGAGTTTCTTGGTGATGAAACTCCTTATCTTAGTGCGATCGGGGCACTAATGTACCTTTCTAACAATACTCGACCAGATATCTATTTTGCAGTAAGTCTACTGACAAAATTCAGTTCCTCCCCAACAAAAAGACATTGGAATGGTGTTAAACACATACTTCGATATCTTCGAGGGACCATGGACATGAGTTTATTCTATTCAAATGAATCCAAGTCGGAACTGATTGATGACGCAGATGCAGTCCAACATTTTTGTATGTACTAGTTTCTTTTCTTCCTTTGATACACAGGTTTGATTTTTTTTAAAAATGATTTCATTTTAATGTATTTATCTGATCCGCATAAAGCTCGATCACAAACAAGCTATTTGTTTACATGTGGAGACATGACAATATCTTGGCGATCAATGATGCAAACGTTGGTAGCCACTTCTTCAAATCATGCAGAAATAATAGCCATTCATGAAGAAAATCGAGAGTGCGTCTGGTTGAGATCAATGACCCATTATATTCAGGAAATGTGTGGTTTTTCTTTGAAAAGAATATACCAACCACAATGTACGAAGATAATGCTGCATGTATAGCTCAATTGAAAGGAGGATACATCAAAGGAGACCGGACAAAGCATATCTCACCAAAGTTCTTTTTCACGCATGATCTTCAACAAAATGGTGAGATAGAAGTTCAACAAATTCGTTCAAGTGATAATCTTGCTGATTTATTCACTAAGACATTGCCAACATCAACGTTTGAGAAGTTGAGATACAAGATTGGGATGCGCCGTCTCCGAGATATCAAGTAAAGTTTTCAATAGGGAGAGCGAAATACGCGTAATACTCTTTTCCTTAACTATGATTTTGTCCCAAGTTGGGTTAACGAGACAACATTCAAAACGTATTATGAGATATGTGTACTCTTTTTTCCTTCACTAGGCTTTTTCCCACTGGGTTTTTCCTAATAAAGTTTTAACGAGACACATCATCTATGGAATTCCAAGGGGAGTGTTGTAAATCCATTGTATAGTATATGTGGATTATCCATCAGATTTATCCACTATTAAATGAATTCATGTATAGGTGCTTCCAAAGTGATAAGAACTTCCAAGATAACTATGTATCTATTAATTAGATGATTTTTGGAGTAATATCTCAACACTGTAAATAGAAATCACTCACCATTTGGAAGATATACTTGAATAAGAAAATTATCTCCACTATCTTATACTTGTTGTCTTTTTCTTCTTATATTGTGTGCTTTCTTTACAACAAATTATATAATTTACTATCAATTAACATATTAAAAAAACCTTAAAATTATTAAGAACACATAAAAATCATTATCAAAATCGCTAAGCAAATAGCCATTAGGATAAATCAACCAGGTTTAAAGTTATCAATTTTGATCCTATTTTGCAGGGGCTGTTTTCTTTGTACAACCAAAGCGGGAGTTGGGAAGCACAAAACACAAAATCATGGCGGGAGAAACCCTAGACGATCGTATCAGTGAGTTGCCGGACTCACTTCTGCTTCAAATTCTGTCACTTTTGCCGACGGAGGAAGCATTCACAACATGTATTCTCTCTAAAAGGTGGCAGTATGTCTGGACTTCACTTGATTCTTTCTTTTTCTCTCCTAAACGCTATTGGGAAAGAACCAAAGGATTCCGATCATTTGTTGACTACGTATTGTCTCATTCCACTGCTTCCAAATTTGATAAGTTTGAGCTTCACTGCAGTAGCCTGTATACGCATAAGTCTCAAATCAGTCGATGGCTTACTTTTGCTGTTAAAAAAAATGTGCAACATGTTGTAATCTATTCTCATCCTCCTTACATAATGCCTCAAACTTTCTTCACTTGTTCGTCTTTGATAACATTACATATTGCGAATGGTTCATTGGTTTCTGATATTGTTATAGCCTGGAAGTCTCTAAAGACTATAAAATTGGAGGGTATGGCGGTAGTGGATGCCGAAATTAATAACTTACTCTCAGGTTGTCCTGCGTTGGAAACTATAGTATTTAATAGTGTTGGGGGTTTTCGTCGCCTAGAAATTAATTCGTTAAATGTAAAAACCCTGATATTGGAAGGTTATTGCGTGAATAATAGTGGTCACACATTTGAAATTTGTGCCCCGTATCTGCAGCATTTGGAGCTGTCGCGTGATTTTCAGGATTTCTGCTGTAGTCTTGTTGATGTATCCTCTGTGGTTAATGCTAAGATAACTTTTGACATTATGTGTATTAAAGATTTTGGGGATGATTATCTAGATTCTGATGAAGAGGATGAAGACAGTTGCAGTGATTATCACGAAAATTTTAAGACCCTCCTCCAGGATTACCTTCAAAAGCTACGTCATGCAACCGAGTTAACATTCGGAACTTTGTTCACTCAGGTTAGTGATGTTTGTCGTTAGTGCCCTGCATAGCCAAACAAGGATACTTTTGCTTAGTTGTACATAACTTGGTGTCAAGTTATTAAAATTACATGATCTTTCTCAAAAGAAAAACTACAGTTAGCAGACAGCTTCAGAATGTAAAATGCATGAGTTTCACCAACCAGCTTGACAAATTACAGAAACTTGTGGGTACTTTTGTACCTTTCTGCAATCCCGTTGTCAATTTTGGAAGTGTGTTATTTCCTTTATCTTATCCGAAACTAGCACATTGTTAGATTTGTTACAACACTATCTCTTTGTAGTGAAGTGCTTTCTTTATTGCTTTCTCCATTGTTTAATAGTTTCATTGGGATTACTGCACCAGGTCCTATGCATATTGCAGTTCAAAGAGGTGCCAATTCCAGAATTGGAATGCAAATATCTAGCACTGGAGTTGCATTTGGAAAAGTTTAGTTTGTATGGCGCAGCTGGACTTTTGCAAGCCTCGCGTCTTGTGGAGACACTCAACATAACAATAGAAAATCAGCCAGTAACTTTGTGGAACTTTTCTTTTCTTTTTACATCTTTTCATGTAATGAAGTTTTAAAATCTATGTCCCCCTCCCACAAGTTGTTTTTGAATGAGAACTCAAAATATATCCTAAATTATCACTAAGAAGCTCTCCTTCTGTAATATGAAAGCTACACTTTGTCGCTTTCTTTGTGTTAAATGGGCTCTGAAATGAAAGGGTTGTTGCATTATCACACTATGCCACAAATATTTATGATACGCATGACCATCATAATATTTTCCATGCACCACTAATATCTGTGGGGTTTGAAATTTTTCAGTGCCAGACATACTATGAAATCATTTTTGTCACACTAGTTCAGTTTCCATTAGGCTGGCTTGTATTTAGTCCTGATTATATTCTTCGTCTCCAGTTTGATGATTCCAGGTGCTGTTTTGAGAGAAAATATTTGGTCAAAGGTGATAGTATTGGTTTGCAGAGATATATTTCAAGCTTTGTGTTTTCCAATCTAAAGAATGTTAAGATTGTCATCTTCTCTGGAGTATGCATGAAGGAGCATCTTAAGAAGCTTTTCAAACTTTCAAATTTTTTGCTAAAGAATACGGTGGTTTTGGAGAAGTTCATTATCGTATCAAATAGACAAAGGTGTGAGATATGTGGAATCAAGTGTATGTCTCGATTTTTATCGCCTTTGGCTAAGAAACTGGGATCCTCCACCGATTCTGTGATTATCTTCCAACAGTGAGTTTTTTATAACTAGACTACAAGTATTTCTGTCTCACGATACATGAATTTCCCCTTGTGTCAAGTTTTAGATCAACTTCATGCAATCCCGAATCTTAAACTTCTCTATGTTATAAATTATTGTTCTATTGAACTTACCGTTATGGTATATCAAATGGTATAGTAGCTTGGTTTCTCATGAAATTTTTGTTTGTTGCATTTTAGATGTTCTGCTTGTGCATTGCCAGTTTCTTTCAAGTTGTAACACTTTGTTTTCCTGAATACATTATGATGAGTAAATCTACAAACCACATTTTTATGATAATTTCCCTCATTAAATGTTGTGTTTTGCTTCCTTTCTGGCAATAGCATCAAACTCTGATTGAGAAATGGTTTCCTCTATGGCTCTTTACTTGGAAGAAAGAAGTCTGCATTGTTTGTTTACCCCAAATAATTTTAACAGTCTCTAATTGATGCTTACTGTGCTGCTGAATCTTTTTAGTTGAAGTTTAGGTTTTATCCTTCCGTTTATGCATCCGCTAGAAAAATCAGAGCAAGTCATTTCCATCACCACCACACAGTTCTCCCCCACTCCCCTTGGAACCTCATTTTTTTCCTGCTGATTGAGGTTATAACTTAATCATTTGTTAGTCACTTGGCATGCGACTTGCTGACTTGGAAGTTTTTGGATTTACATTCATGCTATCATAACCTTTTTTATATCTCTCTCTTTTTCTTCATTACCAACGGATGGAAGTTCTATTGTGTTGTCCTCTATATCCTATCTTTTCTTTGACCTACTTTGTTGACAAAATTGATATAGTATAGCCAATATAGTGAATCTTGTTTTTCATGAGTGACAACTGATGATCCTAATGACAATAATCCAGGTTTCTTTCAAAACATTGTTTATGTGATCTGTTCTTTTGAGCATCACCAACTAGAAAAGCTACCTCAGGGAAAAAAGAAAAAAGAATTGGCTTAGTTTTGTTGTTAAAAGAAAATGGAATATTTTCTTTTTTAATGATCGTGGTGTCCAGGTTAGGTTCCACGCATCTTGACTAATTCCATGGGATACCGGTCACCTCTCACCAGCAATAGGTTATTAGGTACTAGGTAAAGCTGACCACCAAGGCTAGGACAGATGGAAAGAATCACCTAGTGTTTTTGTATGCAACATGTTATAGTCTATTTTCTGATCCTCTCTGTGTAGTTCCTGAATCTTTCTTCACCTGTTCAACGTTGAGAACATTACATCTAGTTGAAAGTTCCTTGGTTTCTAACATTGCTTTAGCGTGGAAGTCTCTGAAGAGCATAACTTTGGAGAATATGACTGGGATGCTGAAATTGTGAACTTACTGTCAGGCTGTCCTGTTTTGGAAACTATTTTGTTTCACAAGGTTGGGGGTTTTCGTTGCCTGGAAATTAATTATTTAAATTAATTATTTAAAAGTAAAAAACCTGAAATTGGAAGGTAACTGGATGAAAGATGATGGAAGTGAAAATGATAGTCCTTTGAAATTTTTGCCCCGAATCTTCATTATTTGGAGCTTTCACATGATTTTAATGATTTCAATTGTAGACATGTATATGTATCCTCAGTGGCTAAATCTGATCAAGATTCTGATGATGATGAGGAAGACAGTTACGGTGAGGATCATGAAGATTCTGATGATGAGGAAGAAAGTTGAAGTGATTGTTTTCAAGATTCTGATGATGATCAAGACAGTTACAGTGATTATTATGAAGATTCTGATGATATAGAGGAGGATAATCCTGATGAAGATTCTGATGTATGGAGGAAGACTAGCAGTGATTATCATGAAGGTTTTATTCGTCCAAGATTACCTTCAAAGCTGCTTCCTGCAACCTAGTTGATAATCACGGTTTTATTCGTCCAAGATTACCTTCAAAGCTGATTCGTGCAACCTAGTTAACATTTAGAACTTTGTTAACTTGGATTATGATGTTTGTCCTTAGTACCCTGCAAAACCAAACATGGATGGTTTTGGTTAGAAGTACATAACTTGGTGCTGTCAAGTTATTAAAATTGCATGTGCTTCACAAAATACTATTTTCGTGATTTTCTGGCATTTATTCTAGCAGACAGTTTCATAATGTTAACATTATGTGATAAAATTCATTTTCAATCACCAGAATGTTCTTGCTCCCCTTGAAATCTCAACTGATAGTGAATCTAATTTTCATGAGTCACAACTGATGAAACTAGAATTATTGTGGCAATTTGGACTCTCCGAATTGTTCCCACACATTTGTCGGATCCTCAGGACAACATTTTTCTGAGATTAGTTACTAGGAGTAAGATATCTAAGAGAAGACAGGAATTTCCATCTCAGCATAATTGAAATGTAAGCTTTCTATTTATTGCTGATGAAATTTTAAGAGTTCTGGACTAGTTGATGTAACTATTAACTAGTGTTTTTTTTTTCTTTTTTATTATCTTACCTTCATTATTATGGGACCATTGCATAGATGTATAAAATAAAACTCTTACCTACAATTATGGGTGTATGTGGACCGGTGTATATGGGTGTAATCTATCTCTCTCTCTATATTCAATATTGTTGTCATCTTTAGTGTTGAATTAATTTTTTTTTTGTTAGTATTAACATTAATTTGATTTTGATTTGAGCTAATCTATGGACTATAACATTTATTGGACCATCAAAAGTCAAAACTCTAAGTTTCATATTTCAAATAATATGTTAAAAGATAAAACTATGAAAAAATACAAAAAAAAAAAATTAAAAATTATATCAAAGTAAGTATTTTTATACATAAAATAAACTTTTAAAATTATATATATAATGTCAGGTTGATTTAGTCTCCGATTATTTTTTTTCAAGTTAAAACTCAAACCAACTCAAATATAATCATAATTTTTTCAGTGCCAAATTAAATCAAATTAAATTACTAGTCAATTTTTTTTTAATTTAACTCGATTTATGATTCGTTTCAATTTTGTACCCCTACCTACAATAGTTCACATAACCTTCCAATTTCAAAACAAAAGGACAAAATCTTTTCATTGTCCATACAGCTTCCTACAAACAAACAAAATGAAGGATTTTAACGATGTTATCTTTCTTCGTATCTTCTTTGTTTTGTCGATTTGTGCAAAAGGTTTAACATGCTTGTTTTTTAATGTAAGATCGGTGGTCTTGATTCTTGAATGATACTTTTACGATAGATATTTTAATATTTTATCTCATAATTACGAAATCAAATCGCTTGTCAAACAAACTTTATGAAATAATCATTACTTTAATCCACATTTAAATTATTTTATTGGATACAATAATTATTCTCAACAACCAAATTTATTGTATTACTTAATTAGAGTAGTATACCTTTTTGTTTTTTTGAAATGAAGAGTTGTATATTATAACTTATGTTCAACTTTTTTCTTTATTAAACTAAAATTCGATAAATAAATATAATGCCAAATTTATTACTATGAGAAATAGATCATTTATATTCTTTGTTACATTTTGCAATAAAAAATATTCCTGTCGTTAGGGATGTACAAAATTGAACCAAATTGAAAAAACTCCGATTAGTGGTTGGTTTGATTTGGTTGGTATTGAATATATAACAATAATAATAATAATAATAATAATAATAATGATAATAATAATACATTCAATTAACATTACAAAAGCCACGTAGTGATATATTCTTTTTTTTAATAAGTAAATGCTAAACAATTTCCATTTCAAATATGTATTTATTTAGTAACAAAGAATCCTCTCTAAATAATTTGTAAACTAATTTGTTTAAATAAATTTATCAGTCCAAATATAAAACATAAAATTAGGAAAATAAATAAGATAATTAAAATGATTTGAACGATATTTTTGTCTTAACAATTTATCCCATGATAATATCCTATGTATTACTTCTACCTCCTACTAGTAATACATCCAATAATTTTTCCTTTTAATTTATTTATTTTCAAAACTAACCTTTCTCTTGCATACAAAAATTGTGACTTTCACAAAAAGTTGTGATTTTTATGAAAATTTGTGACTTTTATGAAAAGTTGTGATTTTTATAAAATGTTGTGATCTTTTCGGAGGGTTGTCACTTTTCTAAGGAGTTGTGACCATTCCGTAAAGGCACAATAAACATTTGTTGACACTATTACTTGTTGTCTATAAATAGAGAGATTTCCTCTAATTTTAAAATGACAAAAAAATTAAACTTCTTCTTCTTCTGTACAATTAAATATTCGTGTACTTTGCTTCTGTTGAGTGGCTCACTGACACCATTGTTTTTGTATTAATACACTAGTAAAAAGAATTGTTCTATCCTGAGAGGATCTATTCCTTTAAATCTCGGGTACTAGAGGGAATAATTTCCTTAAGGGAGACAGTATGTTTATGTAATTAATTATTTTTTTGAGTACATATTTTAAACTTGTTGTTTATATTTCTGCAAAGTTATTGTTATAAGTATTTGTCAGTACAGATCAAATAACACACCTTAATTGAGTATTTACACAAGTTTTTTCTACTAAATTATTGAAGGTACAATAAAAAAAATTCCTTAAAAATCTATATTACCATCTTTAAAAGCCAAAATTCAAATTTGGTGTGCCATTGTAAGGACATAAAGACCTTAAAAACTTAATCGCACCTTGATGTGCGAACGAACCAGGAAAAGAAGACAAAAATTAATAAATTTTTGACATGGGGCTTAAGGATATGTCAGATGACCTATGTGAACACCTAACTTTTGATGTGTTTAATTTATTCCTACAATATATAGTAAGGTCTTTCCTTATATTTTATTTTGTATTTTGGTTTGTATGTCTATGTTATTGTTCTTTTTTAATTAGCCCAAATGATCCAATTTTATTTGAATTGCTGATTTAGATCCAATTTTGATAATACAATCAATTATAACCCAGTTTAATAGCAATGGTCAAAATTGAATCTTAACTATTCATAACATTTTGATCCAAGGGCTATAATGTGACCTTACCAAAATACAAAAGACTCCAAAAATTAGAATTTAGGCCCTATTTTTCTCTTCTCTCATTTCTTCCACCTACCACTATCACCGTCGGCTGGCCACCGCTACCGCCGGCAGCCTCCACCCCATGGCCAAAAAGTTTCTCCAAATTTTACCATCTCTTCTTTCACCCTCCTCTACACAAATCCACAAATCATTCATCTTTATCCGTAGGCAAATTTAATAGATATAAGAAAAACAAACACAAGTCATCAATTTTTCTTTAGATTTATGAAGTTTCGATCAATCAAATCCTATACTATTTTCATAAATATGTAAAACTCTTCAAGGGCTATCTTTTGATGTGAATTTTATGTCAAAATTTCGTCAAAAATTTTTTAGCGAAGTTTTTCAGTCCCCCCATTCACCTAAAAATTTGTGTCGATATTTTTCTCCTCTTATCCTTAGCCGATCCATCACTATCACAATCTTTTAATCATAGAAGTAGTTTTGGTGACGAATTATGTATTGTTTTTGTTAGTGTTCTTTAAAGTTTTATCATGTTGAACTTTTGTTTGAAGTTTATTTTTACTTTTATTTTTTATTCAATTTGTTGTGTTTGATCTTCAAGATAGGTTTAAAGTTTAAATTTTTGTGTTAGTGGGTTAGTTTTCTTTTGAAATTTTGGGTCTTAGTTAAATAGGTCTACATTTTGGGCCTATTTGAAATTTTGTATAACTTACATAAATCCCATAGTGTAAGACTCTAAATTACATTTTATCCATACTTTTTTTCTATTTTGCAAAAATTCCTTAAAATATCAGTCATCCGAATACATAAATTTCACTTGGATACACTAATTGTGATACATTATAAAACTTTTCTATTGCACTTAATATGAAATATTAATATAAAATTGATTTTTCCCCACAAATCACGCATAATTGATTTTCTTTCCCACAAATTATGCATAACTGATTGATATCAACTCACTGCATTATGTAACAACTTCACAAAATTCAAAAGTCAAATTTTAATCTTCTCTATCAATTTGAAATTTTGAATCTCAAATTCGCCATTATTGATGATTGAATCTACGATCAAATCCTCAATACAAAATTGTCGTCTAGAATAAAAGATCGTTCAAAGTAGAATAAAGACATGAAAACTTTTTTGATGGTTTTAGGAAATGAGTTGAATCTATTTCCAAGAAACCATTTTGTAAATTCAGTTCTTGGAGAAAGAGATGAAGATACTGCTGCTAATGGAATTCGACACTAAATTAGGGTCTTTTTTTAGGAGATGAAGAATCAATCAAGTGTTCCAATTACCAAATTAATGACGAAGTGAAGTTGAAGAAGAAATTATTGATACAATAAATATGACGAAACAAATTGAGTCCAAACAGAATCAACAAAATAATAATTCAAATCTCTTCTCCTTGTTCATCAAAGAATCTTTTAAACTTATAGATAAATTATATTGATACAACATGGATCTATTGATTTTGCTGAGACATTCCACAAAATGAGAAAGTGAGATGAGGTATGAATGATACAAAAGTGAATCTCAAATCAACCATTGCAGGTGAGTTAAAGATCAATGAATGAAGGAAAAATTTGAAGAAGATCTGATACATTGTGATGTGAAGAAACAAGAGACTAAATTTTCAATGTATCAACTATCCATTGATACAACAGACAAAAAGGCCGCAGAGATACACAGTTTTGATGACTCATCCATACATTTTATAATGTTGTGTAATCATTTTTTGATTTGTGTTTCGAGATGGATAGATTTATCAGTACATTACTATATGTATCTTGTTTAAATTGATTGCATTTTTACTAGATACATTAAATAGGTAATTGTTGCCCATAAGATGTTAGGTTTAAGATCGATGCATTACTGTGTGAATTGTGATAGTTGTTACGTAATAGATATATTTTGATATATTTAATATAGATTTAAATTACGTATCATGCGAAAAAATTAGTGCATAATATATTACTATTTATGTATCTTATTTTTTTTAAAAGAAATATTGTATCTTATAAAAAGGTACATTATACATATAATTATTTCCAATAACATTTTTATGTGTGATACATAACACAATAGTAAGTTGATGTGCATATGATTGCAACAAAGTTTGAAAATTGTTGAATTTGATGTTACATTGTGTATCATGTACATAATAATTAATCTGATACATGATACTTTATCTATAAAATAATAGAATTTATGTATCAAGTGTATTTATTGATTAATGTGTACATCCACATATCTTCAAATTTTAATAAGTCTAAAATTTAGCACTATAGATACATAACAACATTTGATACATGGTAGATTATATAATTTGGATACAATATATTGAGCATGATGAAATTGTAATGTATCATAATATTAAAAAAAATGCATTGAACATTGATTTAAGAAAATAAAAATAACTTGATACATTAAAGATATGAATTCATATATATCAAAAAAAGATGAATAAGAAAAAATCAGAAAAAAACCTCAACAACATGATATGCTTCTCCTTCTCCTTCTCAACATATCTATATTAATGTATCAGATTATTGTTGTGTTTGTGGTAGTCCATTAAATGCACAGTAAAAACCTTGTGAATACATTATCACAGCAAGTCTACCAACAACGACAATTGGAGGAGGGAGGACGAGATGGACCCCACGATCTCATATTAGTATCTAAGAATTTAGTTGAGTAACCTCAATACAAAATGAAGGGGTATGATCCAGATGTATCCAAAAAAAAAAAATCTGGAAAAAAAATGAAGAAGATAATAATGGTGAAGATAAAACTCTACCTATTAGGATGTGTGAAATTGATTGACTTTAGAGAAAAATTCTTTTAAAAATAAAATTAATTTGAAAATTGTAACGGCTAAAAATGTGGAGTGAATTTAGGAAGAGAAAGAGGAGCAAAAAGTGGAGTATAAACGTGATTTTTGGTTGAAGGGTTGTTATGTATCTGAAAGTTTTAAGAATTGACAGAAATAAGAGATTTATATAATATTTCAAAAAGGTAGGAAAAAATGGAGAATAAGGGAAGTAAAGTTATGTATATAAATATTTTTTTCTAAAATTTTCACATGATCCATTTAGCTATTATTCAATGAATGAATAAAGAAAAAATTACACCATTTACATATTTAAGGGATTATATTACGGGTTATAAACATACTTTTAAAAAATTCTTCTTTATAACAAATTATTTATGGGTTATAGCATATCACTTAAAATTATGTTTATATATATATATATATATATATATATATATATATATATATATATATATATATATATTGTTTATCTAAATATCAATTATAATTTAATTTAAAAATTATTTAATCTATTTAAAATTTTATTTTAGTGATTATTTATAGTTAAAGTTAATTAATTTAATTACAATTCTCTTTTTAAAAACGATCTCTTTAAATTTTTATTTTATTAATCATTTTTACTTACATTTGCCTTTTTAAAAACTAAAAATTATCAGTTACTTATTTTTAGAGATTTAGATTGATCATAATTCCTTATTTACCGTTACAAACCAATCACCCCATACCCCAATCACATCCCCCTGCCTCACACGCCAATCAGAAGTTATACATTACCACGTTCTTTCCCACACCTCACACGACCACCACAATACAATCTTTCCCAACATCCACAATCGTTCATCTCCTCTTTCACATAACCCATCTACTCTAACTCCACAATCCTCCATCTTGTTACTCTTCTCATATCATGTCGAAGAAATGCATTGAAACGTCTCGTAAGAGTCCCAGATTTGTTGAAGGAACTTTATTAGATGAATTTCATGTTCCATCGTTCAATATATCAACTCAAACTCCATCGCCTAAAATAGTTGAGAATCTGAAGTCGGCGACTGGTAGTTTTGCTCAATCCAAGGTTCAAAAAGTGAAAAAAAAATGATGTAAAGAAAACAGGGACTCTGGTAAATCAGAAGGGAAAGAAGAGGGAGGAAAAATTGTTGAAACCCCTTACGGATCTGATTATGACTTTGTTAATGAAACAAAAAAATAAATAAAAAAATCAATAAGTACCGACGTTTCTCAATCTTCTAAACCTTCAAGACAATCAACAAGAAGATCAGCAAAAAGGAAGAAATCAGATGTACCAACTTCCAAAAAAGACAAATAAATTGTTAGGGTAAGTAATATATTTAATTAATTTTCACATTATTCAAAATTATCTAAAATATGGGTAAAATGTTTATGGATGTGAGTTTGATATTTGATTGATGGATAGTGTATGAATTTTGATTATCGGATTACATATTTGTATGATTGTGTATTGACATTGATGTGTTTGTCTTTTAATAGTGTATATTTGCTGAATTATTTTATTGATATGTATGAATTTTTTAACTACTATGTTTTGTATAAATTTTGAATAATATTGGTATCGATTGTGTATTAACACTGGTGAGTTTGTCTCTTAATTGTGTGTATATGATGAATTATTAAATTGGTATGCGAATTGTATGAATTGCTTAACTACTATATTATGTATAAATTTTGAATAGTATTGGTAAATATTTAATTAATATGTTTTGTATAAATTTTGATTGCAATTTGATTTGATATGCATGTGTATGAGATATGAATAATATTTGTATGAACATATAAATTAATTATAAATTTTGTTAAAATGTAGATATTGCTGGAATGAAAAATTATTGATTTTTGTATTAAATCTGTGATAATTTAGTCTTAACAATTTTATAGGCGAAGAAGATATACACGCATTGGTCTTCATGTACAAACATGAATGTTTTTGGTGATCTGTTGAGTTTCCTCGGACAAGAGAGGTTTCAACAATTTCAGGAACAAACATCTTTTGGTATATTTTATGAATTACACAACATACAGATTCAATGTAAACTATTGTGACATTTGTTTCTTCTTGAATTTGAAAATATGAAAATAAATGATATAAAATTACATTTTGCAATCAAGGAATTCACAGCGATAACTGGGCTCAAATGTGGACCACATACTGATTTTGTTGCGGATTCATCTATCCCAAATAGACGTGTGCTGGTATATTTTTGGGAAATGAACCAAGTCCCCAAGTCAGATTAATAATGATGACCTTTTCAAAATCGACATTTTGTACTTTATTTCTTCATTTTTGACTGGTTCGAAGGCCTCTAAAACAACAATTCATAAATTGTATTTTGATTTGATTGAGTCCGGTCAATATGTCAACTTTACATGGAGCAATGAATGTTTTAAACTCACTCCTAAATTGTGCAGCGTTAGTTGCTGAACAATCCTAAATCATTCAAATTTAGTCAATTCCATATAGGATTGCAGGTCTGATTTTATGAGTGATTTGATCCTTTGACAATACAATTGTTATTCTTGCTTCAAATCGCACACTGCATATTCTGAACTTGAAGAAAACAAATGACATTATCTTTTCTGATGACTTGAAAGCTACGATTTTCAAAACACATGACAACCATGTCATCTTTTAGTTAATGTTATTTAGTAATTACAAATTATCACCTTTTCTTTTTATAAATTATTATTCTCACATCTTTTTTTTTCTATTGCCGCTTAAATTCAGAAATATAATGTTTACTGACGAAGAGTTAGATGCCATGTATCCGAACATTTTACATCAATCTGAAAGTCACCACGATTCAGAAGATCAAGGAACATCAGAAAAGCATGGTGTTGCCTTCGACCAATAGTATGTAGAGTTGAAGGCAGAAATTGCGGAGGTATACAATAAAAAATTATGATTTAATATTTTTTTAACATATTACAAAGTACTTATGCAATATCTTAATATGTAATGACATGTTAAGGCGGAGTTGAAAGAGTTCAAAGATAATGTTATTTTTCAATCCCTTTTAAATTAATTATTATTAAATTTTTCTCTAATATTTTAATGTTTAACATATGTTATATCTATTGATAAGATTGACAAGCATATGACTAAAATGAAAACACATATCGGTAACTCGACAAAACTGATAATTGAGTAGATTAGATCGTCAATATGTCAACCAACATCAAGTACACACCAACAAATATTATATGGTATTAAAGGGTTTCAAAAGTTAAAAACTAAAAATAATTATTGTATCATCGTGTGATTTGTGTATGAACTTTGTATGACCAAATATTATACTTGTTTTTTTCCAGTTGTTTATTTTATATAGATATTAACATTGTATAAATATTGAATGATTTAGTATGTATTAATAATGTATGACAGTGATTTACATCTTTATAATTTTTTTTCTTCATTTCACTTGAATGCAGATACAACATTAAACATTAATGAATACAGACTTGAAGTATCTCATTTCCCCATGTTTAATTAATATTTATGCATCGTTTTCCATCACAACAAAATCAAAATTCTCCAAAAAATCTGATTTTTTGAATTGTTTTTTACAAATTAACATTAATTAAGAAAAATATTTTTCTTAATTAATTTTAATATCCTTAATTAATGCTAATTCATAATTATCTCCAACCAAATCAAATTTAATTAACATTTATATTTTCATTTTTTTATCTTTTAATCAACCAAATCGTTTTCATTTATTTCTTTTATTATTTTATTTTTTAAAAATAAATGTCTCTAATTATTAAAAACATCCTTTTTTAATAATCATAATATGTTATAACCTGATATTATTAATCTTACAACTTGAAAGTCTAGATCTAATCTTATAACTTAAAATATTACTATTTATTTGCTATATATATAATTTTCACATGAATAAAAGAAACGGATCATTTAAAAGGGCAATGCAATCTTTTTAATTAATCTGCTCTTGAAAAAAGAAAAAAAAGAAAAAAAAATTCGATTAACCATCTTGGGTGGCACATTGGAAAGATAATGAGTCCAATGCATGCATTGATTCTTAAATTTTCAAGAAGAGTGGGTGTTAATATTTACCATCTATTTAAACCACATTCTTCTTTTCATTTCAAGAGAAAAATAAAAGAAACATAAGAGAAAGGCGCACAAAAAGAAGAAAAATTAGATTGAAGAGAGTATCAAGTTTTTCAAAAAAGAGAAGAAAAAAATAATTTAGATTAGCAAGAAAAGAGGTTATTTTTTGTGAATTTGTTAGTTCAACTAGTTTGCTTCCACTATTGGCTTGTGATCACCTTTATGTATTTTCTTTTACATTTCACAATGTGATTTTAAATTAATGTTTCATGTTTTTTTTATATTTAATTAAGTTGTTTATATTAAATTTGTTCGATTTAACCAAGTCTATTGTGATTTTTATATAATTATATTTATTATTATGCACAAATATATTCATTACTAATGTGGTATTTAGTTTAATTTACCTCATGATGGAAATGAATAGTAAACTTGTGTTTTGCTAAAGAAGAAAAAAATAATAATTTCAAAGTATTTTTTTATATTTTAATTTCTGGTCACTTTTAAGAAAAAAAGAGGCTGCTTTTTACAAAAACACAAAACCGGTCATTTTTGCAAAAATATGAGTCTGATATTTTATTGGGCAACTTTCACATATAACAAACAAAAAATTTATATTTGTATGCTATAGCAAACTTTGCATAATTGCGCTCCATAGCAAACATAAAACTGTATAATTTGCTATACATATACAATTGTATAATTCGCTGGCCTAAATTGTATAATTCGCTGGCCTATTTCGCTGCAATTGTATAATTTGTTTTGCATACAGTTAAATCGAATTAAAATGTATGTATATTGCATAATTATAAGTGTATAGCAATAAGATATATGTTTTTCTCACTTTATACAAAAACAGAAACAAAATATATAAACTTCTGTTGTATAAAGCTAGAGAAAATTGTATTTCACTAGAATTGTATAATTCGCAATTGTATAATTCGTTGGCCTTTTTCTCTGCAATATTTGAAGTAAAATATTTGTAAATTGTATAGTTAAGTGTATAACACGAAGATATACATTTTTGCATGTATATATACAATTTTCTCTCGCTTTATACAAAACGGAAACAGAATTATACACTTCTGTGTATAAAGCGAGTGAGCCGAGCGAGAATGGAGAGTGGCGAGCGAGATTTTTGGGAGAGAGACGCTGACAAATTTTAGCTAATGTTTGCTATGAAGCACAATTAAATCAAACCCTAGCTATTCTATTTAATTTAGGTTATTAGTTTGCTATTATATACAATTTTCCCTATTTTGTGAGTATTTTTTTTTAAAATACGTCCCTAATAAATATATAAAATGGATTCTTAATACAAAAATGCAAATTTGATTTCATTTAGGTTAGTAATTTAACTATTATATAAAATTGGTGATTATTACAATTTTCTTTCAAAAGAGAGCTATGTGATCATTTTGGGTTCAACCGAATAGTTTTTATTTGAATGGTCCTTTCTAGATTTGTATCAATAATTTTTTTTAAAAAAAAGTGTTTCGCTACTTCTTTTTATGAAAGGGGCTTAGTTGTTATTATTTTAAAAAGTTTTGTTTTTCTTTTGTTGTTGTTGTTGAGTCATTAATTATTAGTTTTATTTAATAAATAAAATTTATTAAATATCATCATGTGTTTGATTACGATCTTTGGTGTGTATTATTTTTTTAAAAATAGGTCTTGTGTGCGGCTACACTCTTAGGCATATTATTTTTCTTTAAAAAAATTAGTGATTAACAAAAACTTACATTTTTATTTAAAATTATTTTTAGCCAAATATGAGTTAATAAAGCAACCGTGCTATCATCACGGGACTCGGGGGTGCCTCACACCTTCCCCCGATCAATAAAATTCCTTACCCCCATATTTATTTTGTGGAGTAAAAAAATAACGAGTCATTTGCTTTTAGTTTAGGAATTTACCAGGTGACTTGAAACGCCCAAAGAATTCTATTTCAAGTAACGACTAAAAAATAAAGTTTTAACTTGCTTTTATTCTTCAAAAAAGAATCCATCACATCCCTAGCAATTGCCAATGCAGAGGTGTGATAGATCTGACGACTTTTGTGAGAATTTTTTTATTAGATTTCGAGCTTTGTGCCTTAACTATATTTTACTAGTTTGATTACTTGGTCAATTTTTGTGTTTTTTTGGCTAATTTTGCTATTTTAATGATATGTTGTTTTAATATTGTGCGGTTGTATATAAATTATCTTCTCTCACACACATTTTGAGTCTTTGAAATTTTGTTGTACACTGTGTGAAGATATAATCCATATACTTCTGTCAAAGGTGAGTCAGTGGACGAATACACTCTTGGTTCAGGATTTTTCACGCATATTAGTCGGGATTGGACTACCAGCTAAGTCGAAATAGTTCTGCTACATGTCTGTTAACCCTCCCTGGCTCGAGTTATCTACTCGAGTAAAGCAAGTCTAGACACCTTCCATATAAAGTGCTAAACATAGCAAAACTATCCCTTGTAGGCTACGGTTATTTGCATCATGTGTATTTGACCTGACAAATCAAAGATAAGTATCCTCTGTAGATCAATATATTCATTTTATGTGCTACGTAAAAACAATTTTGTTTAGAAGGCATTTACATTGTTGACCAACTTTATAAATGTGTCTTTCAACTTTATTTTTTTAAAAAAAAAGGGAAACTAGGTTGAAAAAAAGGGGTGGTCTTTTAAGTGGGAGTCATTTTTTTATGAACTATACACACCTGATTTTCACTAAAATGAGATACATAGGTATCTCTTCTAGGGTTCGGCGTTTGTAAAAAGAAGGGGGTATATTGTCTTTTAAAAAACTTGCTTGTTACATTTTCTTTTCTCCCTTGATTAAAGTTTATAATAAAAATTTAATTAGATTCTATTCAAAGGTACAAATGACACCTCCAATTAAAGGATAGGGTTTTAAAAGGCCTAGGAGTGAAGGGAATCCAGAATATATGATTGTTGACACAATACCCAAGGATCTATGACAATGGTGGACATGCATGGGGAATTATGAGCAAAGGAGGGTAAAAGAATATCTGGGGCATCTTGTGCATTTGATGGAGATTGTCTAAGAAGAGATATGATTGAGATATTGATTCCATTCTGTGATTCAAAAATAATGTGTTTCAATTTTCTAACTTTTAGATGACACCAACTTTGAAAGAAATTGTCAGTTTCATGGGAAAAAGGTCTAGTATTCGAGGTGTTGATCCCCACAACATAAGAACTACAATCCCAAAGATCATCGACGCCAACAAGTTCCAGGACCTTTGAAAGATCAATCAGACAGAGAAGGAGTGTTTAAAAAATGGGTGAGTCTCATTGGACTTTCTATATGAGAGGTACAATCAAAAAGATAAATTTTAAGAATACTAGAACCAACTTAGCTATTAAGGGGGTGTATAGTCTTGAATGGATGTTTTGCCTCCATGATCACATTTTTTGGGGCTCATCGTGTTTTCCAAACGGGACAAGCATATCGACATTCTTTTGGCAGTGCCCGTGAAGGCGCTGACTACAATGAAAATTCCTACTATTATTCCTATGATCCTAGCAGATTTATTTTGTACAGTGACTAACTTAAAAAATGGGGAAACATACTTTGAAGGTTACAACATGTTGATGTAATATTGTTCTTGGAATATCTTTATCATCATGTTTGTGCATCATGATTCACTCCAGTTTGGTGTAATTATATTTCGTCTCATAAGGAAAGAGAAGCAAAAATTTATTTTCCAAAAGGATTTTTTGCATGTGAAGAGTAACTCTCTGTAACCACATCTCATGAAATTGTATAGAATTATTTCTGGTTCCAACTAAGTGTTTCATTTGCATGTCTACTGGTATCTCGTGTTGATTAGGTTTAGAGGTGTCCAAACTATGCCCCACTTTGGGTTATGCATCAGCTGACTAGAGTTCAAGAAGTTCCACCAAATGATGACACCTAGATTTTTATTTGAAACCCCACCAGGTTTTGCCTTTAATAGCCAAAATATTCTGAAGATCTGGTTTGGGAGTATAATTTCTGAGCAAAGTGAAATGATTATGGACCAAGATAAAAGAAAAGTGGTGCTTGGGTACTTATCGTGATTCCGTGATCCAGTAAGATTTTGTGACACTCACGAAGGATCTAGCTGAAAAAGAAAAGACAAACACACCATAAAACAATTGGAAAAAGAGTTGGATAAGGACAAAGACACGATATCCCGACAAGGTTCAAGTCCAAATATGAAGAAGTCACTAGTTGGAGTTAGAAGATGTGGAGAGGTAATTGAACCATGCGGAAGGAAATTAGTTCAATTAGAAGAGGAGCTGGATAACATGTTTCATTTTTTCCAACAGATAAAAAAGGAGCAGAACTTTGAGATTTCTTGATTGAAGAGGGACTTAGTGATATATGAAGAGGTCGTGCACTACCAAAAGGGAGAAATTTAGTGGTAGAAGGAGAACTTTGAGAAAAAAAGGTCATGTTGGATGCACTTACATGATCAACTTAAAGCACAATTAGAAGAACAAAAAAGGAAAATCAGTCATAGCGTCGATATAAAAATGGAGCAAAGACAAATAATCATTGATAGAAAAACACTTTGTGATCAACTTGAAGCATCTTAGGATTGAGTCCCTTTTAAGGAAAAATCTTGGTGATCATCAAGCGTGGTTTGACCGGGATGCTGGTTCCCTCCATTTGATAGCATATTCTCTGAAGCTTTCATTTGGCTTCTTTCTCATATTGGAGAGTGTATTGCGATCTGACATAATGTCGACAATTGTACTGAAATTGTCTAACAAAAAAGAAAAATTAGAAAGAAGAGAGTATGAAGTTCCTTAAAAGGGATTCTCGCTCCTATGATGCTTCAAGTTGATTAGGAAGTGTTCCTCTCTCAATGATCATTTTTCTTCGCTCCACTTTGATATTGACAGAATGATTGATTTTCCTTTTATGTTCTTCTAATTGTGCTTTACGTTGATCATGTTAGTGCATTCAACATGACATTTCTTTCTCAAATTTCCCATCTACCGCTTAAACTCTCCCTTTTAGTACTGCACGACCTATTCATATGCCACTATGACCTTATTTGTTTCCATTAAGATAAAGTGGTCTGATTTTGAATACACATATGCATATTAAGATTTGCATTAAGTTTTGATCTGAATATATATCTGAATATTAAGATTTGGTCTCTAATTATAAACACTAAATAATTAATGTTGTTTGTTTTCGATATCTGAATGTGAAAGTGAAATTGAACATTATATTAATAAAATATTATAAAATTTTCATTTCAACAAAAAGTATCACTTTTGATTTTAGAAAAAAGTTTGAGAAGTTTTAATAATCATGATTTGGAGTACTAATTTTTTCATTCAAAAACTTTTACAAACAACAGTACACCAAAAATATTATTGCAACCAGTGTTCTTGATATACTCAATACAAGAAAATTATCAAGATAAAAAAAATACTTGAAAGGATTTATGAAAACTTACTAGTTGGAAAAATTGGTGTTTGATTGAGAAAACAGAGAAAAAAAGTTTTTTAGTTATGAGATAAAAAGGCACGTCCAAAGCAGAGAAGATATGATTTATTAGTTGATAACTTATCAAATGAGTCTGAATGTGTTTAAGACTCTCCTATAGACCTGATTCGTTCATACCTCTTCATACCTATTAAGAGGTATTTCAAAAGATAAAACAAATAAATTTAATGGGCTGAATCTGAATGATTAAGATTCAGACCTCCATTAAGTGCAAACAAATGAGGCCTACGTCCCTCTTCAATCGAGAAATCTTAAAGATTTGATTTTTTCGACAAATACATCCTGCTCTCTAACTCCTCTTCTAATCGAGCTAATTTCCTCTCTGTGTTCTTCAATTCCCTCTAAACATCTTGTAATTTCAACTGGTGACTTCTTCCTATTTGGACTTGAACTTTTTGTCAGGATATGTTGGCTTTGGCCTTCTCCAACTCTTTTTCGAACCATCTTATGATGTGCTTGTCTTTTTTTTATGCTTAATCCTTCGGGAGTGTCACCAAATGTTACTAGATCACGAAACCATGATAGGTGATCACACACCATTTTTCCTTTATCTTACTCCATAACCATTTAACTTTGCTCATAAATTATACTCCCGAATCAGATCTTCAGAATATTTTGGCTATCAAAGGCAAAATCTAATGGGGGTGTCAAATACAAATGTAATCGTGTAATTATTTGGTGGGACTTCTTGAACTCTAGCCAGCCGACGCATAACCCGAAATGGGGCATAGGATTGGATACCTCTAAATCCAATCAACATAAGAAACGAGATACTAGTACACATGCAAATAACATCCTTAGTTGGGAATCAATAATAATTTCATACAATTTCATCAGATGTGATTAATACGAGTTTCTCTTCACATGCTAAAATTCCTTTGGGAAAATCGATTTTTGCTTTTCTTACTTATGAGAGGAAACATAATTACACCAATCTGGAGTGAACTTGGGTGCACGATCATGATGATAAAAATGTTCTAAGAACTATTTTGCAGCAAGAACAATCTGGAGTGAACTTGGGTGCACAATCATGATGATAAAAATGTTCTAAGAAACATATTTGCAGCAAGATGTTGCACCCTTGAAAGTACATTTCCCCATTTTTTCATTTAGTCAATGCATAGAACATATCGGTCAGGATCATGGGAATAATGATAGGACTTTTGATTGTGGTTAGCGCCTTCACCACATCTGCCAAATGAATGTCGATATGCATATCCCTTTTGAGTAACACGATGAGCCCCAAAACCGCCACCATGAATGAAAAACATCCATTTCAAGCCTATAAGTCCCTTTGATTACTAAGTTGGGTGTGGTAATTTTTAATTCCATCCTTTTGATCGTACTTCTCATATAGAAAGTCCAAAGAGACTCACCCATTTTTCAAACTCTCCTTCTCTATTTTATTGATCTTTCGAAGTTCCTGGAACTTGTTGGCGTCGACGTTCTTTGGGATTTTAGGTCTTCTGCTGCGAAGATCAACACCCTGAATACTGGATTTTTTTCACATGATACTGGCAATTTCTTACAAAGTTTGTGTCATCTCAAAGTTAGAAAATTGAAATACATTAGTTTTGGATCCCAGAATGGAATCAATGCGTCAACCATATTTATTCTTGGGTCAATCTCCATAAAATTCACAAGATGCCCCAAATGTTCTTTTACATTTCTTTGCTCATAATTCCCCATGTCTGTCCACCATCACCGTAGATTCTTGGGTATTATGTCAAATATCATGCATTCTAGAGTCCTTTCACTTCTAGGCCTTTTAGAACCATGTCTTTTAGTTGTAGGTGCCATATTCTGGAATTCCTCTACTTCTAGGACTTTCAGAACCATGTACTTTAGTTGTAGGTGTCATTTGTACCTTTAAAATAAAGTTTTATCACACACATTAATCAAGGAAGGAAAGAGAAAGTAAAAGTCAAGTTCTTTTATTGGATAAGATACCCTTTTTTTATAGACACCGAACCCGACAAGGGATGCCTACATATCTCATTTTAGTGAGAATCAGGTGAATGTAGTTCGTAAAAAAATACAGCCACTTGAAATACCACCATTTTACTTCAACCTCTTTTCCATTTTTTTAAAATAATAAAATTAAAAGACAAAGTTAATATAAAGCTGGTCAGCAATGTAAAGGCTTTTTGAACAAAATTATTTTCACGTAGAACATAAAATGAACATGTTGGTATAGAGTGAATACGTATATTAGATTTTTTAGTTCAAATGCACATGATACAAATAAACGTATTCTACCATGAAAGTTTTTTTCTAGGTTTAACACTTTATATGGAAGGCGTATAGACTGACTTTATTTGAATAAAAAACTCAAGCGAGGGAGAGCCAACAGACCGGTAGAAGAGTTATTACGGCTTAGTTGGTGGCTCAAATCCACCTAATATGTCTGATAAATCCCGAACCAGGAGCATAACCACACATTGACTCATTTTATACAGAAGTCATGTGGAGTGTATCTGCACACACAGTATAACAAAATTTCAGAGACTTAGAAGGTGTGCAAGAAAAGACAATTTATATCAATTGCACATTACGAAAACAAGAAAGCATCAAAATAGCACAATTAGCGAACAAACACAATAATAAGCAAATAATCCAACTAGTCAAATATAGTCAATGCACAAAGCTCGAATTCTAGAAAAAGAGTCTTCTTTCACACCTCTGCATTGGTAATTTCTAAGTATGTGACAAATTCTTTTTTGAAAAATAAAAGCAAATGAAAAATAATTTTTATAGTTACCACTTGAAATTGCATCTTTTTGGGTGTTCGAAGTCACCTCATAGATTCCTAATTTAAAAGAAAATGACTCTTCAATTTTTTAGTCTACGAAACAAAGATAGGGTAAGGAATTCATTTGAACACAGGAAAGTGCGAGGCACCCCATGAGTCCCGTGATTTTAGAACTGTCGCTTTATTAACTCATGTTTGGCTAAAACTATTTTTTAGAAAAAAATATAATTTATAATATGTAGTCTTTTTTAGACCTGATGCCTATTAGCTTGAGTAACTTTGTTAATAAGATTTTATCAAGAATTGTACATGATAAATTGGAGAATATTCTTCCCGAATTGATTTCTCCCAACCAGGTTTTGTCAAAGGGAGAAATATCACTGAGAATGTGCTCTTAACATAGGAGTTGGTTGCTGATATAGGGAAAAGAAGAAAATCTTTTTAGTGAAGGTTCTTAGAAAGATTGGGTTCTCTAATGGGGTAGTTGATGTTGTTTAGAGATTGATATCTAATAATTACTACTCTATTTAGTTAAATGGACAATATGTTGGTTTTCTTCATTCTACTTGGGGGAGGGGAGGGGGGGTTAAACAAGGGGATCCCCTTTCCCCTGCTTTATTTATCTTATCTACTGAAGTTCTAACTAGAGCTCTTAATCATCTTGTAGAAAATGATGCCTTTGTGGGTAATGGTATGCTTAAGTGGAGCTCAAACCTCAATCACTTAGCATACGAAAAAATAGATGATACTATAATTTTTGCCTCATCTTGTTTTTGGTAAACAATCGCCCAGTCCTGGTCACTGCGACCCCCCTTTGTGAGGAGGCACCCCTTCTCTCAAAGTTACGGGGCTATTTTGCCGAGAAACGGACTAATCCAAATGTTCCTGGAATCTCTTGCTCCCATTGGACCATTTGTATCTATGTGCATCAGGATCTCGATTCATGGATCTCTCAGTTCGAGAAATCAAAATAAGAGGCTTGAACCTTTTCTTCTAACTCTTTTTCAAATTCGATAAATATTGGTTGATCGTAATTTTAGTATGTACAGAATGAAAACTTCATTCTCGATTCTACTATAATTTTATGAAAGCCTTTCATTTGCTTCTCTTTGATGGAAGTTTGATTTTCTCAGAATGTATCCTAATTTTTGGCCTTATTCTTCTTCTGATGATCGATTCAACCTCTGATATAAAATATATACCTTGGTTATATTTCATCTCTTCAACAAGTTTAGTAATTTATTTCGTAACTTTCGTTCAATGAGAAAATGGGTCAAATTCTACAGGATCAAACCTATGGGACTTAAGGAATGATATATAAAAAAGGAATATACCAACACAAGATCTTCTAAATCTTGACATGGCAAATTCTATACATACTCTTCTATTTGATTACGTGGTCTATTCTAAATCACTAAGCAAAAATGAAAATAAAGACCTCATGATTATATTTATATAATTCTCTTCTTAGGTTATATCTAAAAAAATCGAAATAAAATGACCACAATTTTAGGTATTCACTTAATCTTGTTAGGTATAGGTGCTTTTCTTCTAGTATTCAAGGCTCTTTATTTTGGTGTGTGCGGTTCGTTCGAGAAATTCCTACCTCTCTATCTATCTCTGAGATGATTGGCTTTTTCACAACTCTATGGACATGCAGACGAGTAATGCTATCCCCACTTGGACCAAGACAGAACTTTTGCTTGTTCAAATAACAATTAAGGTGGGAACGACAAATCTCCAAGTTTTTGGAATGCTCCAAATTCGACTTGAGCATCTAAATCTGGGTCAATACCAGCAAAAACATCTCTGAACAAGGTTCTAGCACCATGGAAAATGTGTCCGAAGAAGAAGAGCAAAGCAAACAAAGCATGCCCAAAAGTAAACCAACCCCTTGGACTGCTACGAAAAATACCATCGAATTTCAAAGTAGGACGATCTGATTCGAAAATTTCACCCAATTGAGTAAGCACTCTATTGAAAAGATTATGATGATTTGCATGGAATAAGGTTTGTTTGCCAAAGGATGAACGGGTTTAGGGTTCAGTTCCTTAAAAGATGTTTCTCAAGCAATGTACGCTAAGTTGTGGTGGATGTTTCAGACAAAAACTAATTTGTGGTCTAACTATACATGAAATAAATACTGTAAGAAACAAAGTCCTACATTGGAATGATGTAAAGGTGGATCTCAAGTGTGGAAAGCAATTCTGGAGAATTGGGAAAAATTGAGTCTTTTTTGTGGTAGGAACCAAGAAGTGGAACCTCAATAGTTTGGTTTGATAACTGGACTAATATTGGTCCTATATTTCTTCATTTAACAAAGATACAATCTTTTCACACTAAAAATGATGTTGGATTTCTTTAAAGATAATGGTTGGGATTATGGTGCAATGCAAGAGGTAACCCCAGAACATGTCATTGAACATGTTTGAGATACTATGGGATTTGTCCAATTAGAGAATGTAATGGACAAGCCATAGTGGACTAAAAAAAATACTGGCAAATTCACTACTAAGAGTCCTTGGGAAATTTTGAGGCAAAGAGCAGATCTAAATGAAGACCTAAAGGCAATATAGAGTAAAAAATTACCCTTTAAATTCTCTTTTCTTTTTGGAGAATCTAGTTGGGTAAGGTTATTGTATCAACTCTTTTTCATTTGTGGAATCCTAATATCTCTGAGGATTATGGATGTTGTGCTAATCTAGTTGTGAAAAAATATAACATTTATTTCTCAAAGGAGAGATGGCAGATAGAGTGTGGACTCATTATTGTCGGGAAACAAGTATTATTTATCAAAGACTCAACTTGAAGCAAAATGAGAGAATGTGGAGAAATATTGAAGGTAATAGTAAGCTACGAGAAGTTTTCAAGGTACTTCCTATCATCCTACTCTAGTTTTTGTGGAAAAGAAGAAATACAATCCTACATGGTGGCTCATACCATGATGGGTGGGTGTAATGCGAAGTTAATGACACTATTTTGAAGTTTGTTAAGGTCATATTCAATTTCATTATACAAGGGAAAATATGGATAGATATTATTAATTCTTTGCAGAACAATAGAACTGACTCAGTAATCAGAATTGTAAAATGGGTTCCCTCTCCCAATTATTGGTTTAAAGGTAACACTGATGGTGCCTCAAGAGGGAACCATGGACCTAGTTCTTTTGATTTTTGTATTATAAATGTGAGGAGACATGGTATTTGCTAAAGGCTCAATAATTAAGGACACTACCACCCTTAAAGTAGAATCTATAACAATAAGAGAATGTATACTCTACTGTAAAGACAATGTTGTCCAACATATCATTATAGAATCATATTTTTGGAATATGGTGCAAATTTTTCAGGAAACTAGGTGTAACATAATATAACTCGAAATAGCTAGAAATAAGCTAAGAAACTAAAAATAATCACTTTCTCAAAGAAAGGAAAAAATCTGGAATATTTTCTAAGTTTAAGAAGTGAGTTTTGGTCATTTTTCAAATGGCCATAACTTCTATCACAGGAGGAGTTATAGGTAGTTTTTGATATGTTTGGAATCCCTTGGAGATATCTTTTCAACGTCGTCGACTTTGCGCATTTTTGATATCGTATGAGGAGATAAGCCTATCGGAAGTTGGGTTGTTGAAGTGAGGAAAGTCAAATTCCAGATTTAAGTAAGGGTAAACTAGTCTTTTCACCCAATTATTTCCTAATTATTTTTAAGGGTTTGATTTGTGTAAAAATAAGCCTTAAGCGAGATTTGGAAAATCAATTCACGTTTAGGGCTTAGGATAAAGAGAAGAGAAGAAGAAGAAGGGAGGAATATCAAGGTTTCGTAAAAAACGCCAAGGATTTGCGAGTGGAATTCGTTGGGGGTGATCCCTATTAAGGTATTTATTATATTTGTGTTGGGTTAATTAACCCATAAACCAATTGTTTCAATTCAGCAAATCTATGAGTTGATTTCATGTTAAAAGTTGAAGTTCTTGAAGAGAAGTATCTAATTCTTATAGAACGAATTTTTGGTGTCCTATTATTGATTGATTCTTGTTTCTTCGGGTTGTTTTTGATTTTAGTTCAGCGGTTATTGAGGGTAACCATAGTGCCAAGTATTTGGTGAAAAAACTAGGGAGGTTTGGATATTGAAATGAGTTGAAAAATTTGTCACACGCACCTGGGTAGGCCAGGCGCATCGCTCCTGCAGTGCGCCAAAAGTGGCCTCACTCACTGAGGTCTGGCGCGGCGTGCCACCAGTGCGACAGGACCAAGCCTCAGTCAATTGAGGCTGGCGCCGCGCCCTGAACTCGCCCGGATTGACATTTTCTCCCAGTTTTCGTAGTTTAGCCTTTTTTAGTCCTTCAAAAGTATTTTAACACCTTCCAATGATTCTAGTCACTTCAAATGATTTCTAAACACCTAAAAATCATCAAAGAACACAAATCATAACCTTGAATCCATAATCCTATTCAAGGAAGCCAAGATAAAAGTCAATGAAGTTAAGAGTCAAGTCTAAAGTTAAGAAGCTAGTCTAAAGCAAAGTTTGTAAAGGTTTTAAAGAGTATTTATTTAAAAGTTTTAACTTCATTTTAATGCTCAAGTTTTAAGTTAAAGTAAAGAGTAAAAAGGTTGAAGTCTTTCTTTCTAAAGTTATACGGGAACTAAGTATTCCTTAGGAGTTGATTAATAATCAAGTTTCAAGTTAAGCAAAAAACAGAGAAGTTGAGTTCATTTCTCAACAATT